CTGGGGACCCAGTGGGAGCTGTGGCAGGGGGGTGTCCGAGGGGCATGGGAGACAGCTCCCCAGCCACAGCCCACCCCAGGAGGCTAACTACGGCCCTGGGGGGAGGGCTGGGACCGCACCCTCCATGGGGCCAGAAGTCCTCATTCCCGCAGCATGGACTGCACCCGTCCCTTCTCACAGCCCTGTGAGGGACAATTGGGTGTCGTCGGGGCTGGGGGGGCCCAACTGAGCATGGCATCTGGAAGAATGGGGGCGGTGGCCGGGGCCAGGCTTAGGGCAGGCAGCTGGAGGGGCGCTGTGGGGGCTCAGGTGCTGGACAGCTTCTATGGGGCCGTGCTGGGTGGGGCAGCCCTGAGCAGGGGAGATGGCAGGTGCAGGAGCCCTGGGTGCCCGTGACCGCTGGGAGCTGCCCCAGGCCCTGTGCCCCAGCCTCGTCCGCCAATACCCGGGGCTCAAGCCTCTCTCTGCCCTCTCTCTCCCGGCTCATGCCCACGGCCCCGGGACCCCCCCACACACACACTGTGTGGTGTGTCCGCCAGGGGCTCTCTGCTGTTCTAGGCGCTGTGGGTTCAGGAGGGGCTGAGGTCGGCCCTCTGCAGGGTCCTGCCTCAAGTCACGGGGCCGATGTCAGAGGTTGCCTGCCTCTGGGATGCCTCTGGGTAGAGGAGGAACCCCTCCCACAGCCAGTGTCTGTGCAGGGCGGGTACAGTGGGTTCTGGTGCCTGCAGGGCTCTGGGGCAGACAGGTGACAGCCTTTCTTCTCTCTGTGACAGGAGGTGGCGGCCGAGGCATTCCAGCCAACACGCTCATCGACGTGGACCGTGTCGTTGGCTCAGCACCCGGGCTGGGCCGCAGGGTCCCAGGTGTGCTATCGCCAGCCAGCAGGCCGCCTGCATCAGACACCCCTGGCCTCAGCCGTGTCCCAGGGGGGGCCACCAAGCCCAAGGCCGGCCCGCACCATGCCACCTTTGTCTGAGGCTGCCCGTGGCCTCGCCTGCCACCTCCCGTCCCTCCTGCCCCGCACCGGGCTGTCTGCCCCTGGAGGCCCATGACCTCCAGGGCCCGGCTCGGCCAGCATGGCCACCGCACCGGGAGAGGGCGGAGGGCTTGGCTTGGACACGTGCCACGCTGGCTCAGAGGGCTCCTCGGACCCTGCCCGCTGCTGCCCCTGGCGTCCAGCCTTCCCTCAATAAAGTGTCTTCGAGGGCTCCTGAGCGTCGGCCTCATGATGGGTGCCGGGGAGCCAAACCCTGTCCTCGGGGAGACGTTGTTCCCGTGGGGCTCAGGAACCGCCAGATGGGGCTGGGAGAAGGGGCTCCAGGCGGAACTGCGGTCCAGGCCCTGGCCCTGCCCACGTCACGCCGTCCCCGCAGGTGTCTCCAGGTGGCCTGGGAGACCTGCGAGATCAGCCAGTCACTGGTCTGCAGCGACGGGCGGGGTCTCCTGCCTGGCTCTGGGCGGCTGTGGCTCCCGAGGGCAGTGGGGACCCTTCAGGCTGCCATGCCCTTCCCCCCCACCCTTGGCCTCACTCACGAGGGTGGTCTGGCAGGGCTGTCTGAGGGGACACCTGACCGCCAGCGGCCCAGGGAAGAGGTCGTGCAAAGGCCCTGAGGCTGGAGTGAGTCTGCTTAGAGAACAGCTTGGGCCGAGTCAGGAGGGGCTGGGTGGCTGGCCAGAGGCAGGGCCACTGTGTGGTTTTGGGCTGAAGCAGATAGTGACGATGCCAGTGGCCCAGATCACCTCGGCGGAACCCCGAAGTCAAGCAGCTGAACTCCCTCGGAGTCGGCGGGAGAGGGGTGCGGGGTCTTGTCAGGTTTAACAGAGGGGGCCCGAGGCCTGAGAGCACACGGGTGGGCTGTGGGGTGGTTCTGGATGCTTCCAGGAAGCAGGCCCAGTGCTCTGAGCAGGGGTCCGGGGGAGGCATCAGAATGAACGAGCACCCACCGCGCCCCCAGCGCCTGCTCCCTCTTCCTGCACGGACGGGGAAGTGAGGGCCCTCTGGCTGACTCACAGGACCGGGGGCCCCTCAGACACTGCAGACGGGGTCCCCGGTCCCGGTGGCAGCGCCACCTGCAGCCCCAGCCTGCATTCCGGGGCGGAGGGGCGGCTGCTGCAGCGGCCTGCAGGGGCAGCGTCCCCATCCAGTTCACAGTGCTCAGACCTGGGCAGGTCCCCGAGCCAGGTCTTTGTGGCCCTTGGTGGCCCCTGGGTGCCTGGCCAGGACTCTGCCGGAAACCAGAGACAAAGTCCAGGAGAGGGGGGGGCACTGATGGGCGGCTCTGGTCCTGCCCCCCGCCCTGCCCAGTTCTGCTCCCCACAAGGGCCCCCACTCCGGGCTTATCCTGGGAGGGACGGCAGAGGTCCCCACCCTGGGTCAGGATTCGCCGTGCTCAGCCCAGCGCACACCTCCCCCTCCCTCTGCCTGACCTTTGCTGGCCATGGAGCCAGCACGCCACCCCCCAGGCCTGGGCCCTCGAAAGAGCTCAGCCCTCGTAGCCGCTCCGGTCACGGACAGTTCACAGGTAGACAGCGGCCAGCCCTATGGCCAAGTGGGGACTGGAAGCTGGACTCCTGGCCCCTGGCTGCCACATCATCCTGGAAGACTTCGTGGAGGTGGCTTCTAAGCTAAGACCCGAGGAAGCTGTCAGGTCCAGGACCAGTGTGGCTGAGGCAGAGAGGACAGCTGGACCCTCTGGGCCTGGCAGGGAGAGCAGGACAGTGGATATGGGGACATGGGAGGCAGCGGGTTAATCATTGCCCGGCAGCCTTGACCCCCACCTGCCCTGGCTGCTCTGCTCCTGCCTCCTGCTGCCCCTCACGGCAGCCCAGGAGGAGCCATGGGGTGCCGGGCCTGGGTCCCCAGCCCCTGTGCCCTGCCCAGACTGTCCCTGTTCCTGCTCCTGCTGTTGGCGCCTCTCGGGGCCCACCCCCAGGCTGGCAGGGTGAGCACTGACCCCACGGCACGGTGGCCATGGGCAGCGGGGAGGGGGCAGGGGCTCAACGTGGCGGAGGCTGGCCTTCGGGGGAGGCTGGCATGCCAGGCTGGCCTGGGGAACGGGAGTCCTGGGGATCCAGCGAGCTGGGCCCCCCGCCCACCAGCACGGGGGCCACTCTCCTCCCTCCGGCCTCTGAGGGCCTCATAGCTCTTCCCGCCCAGGCCCCGAAGCAGACCCCCAGGACTCAAGCCCAGGGGGGATGGGCTCTGTCCGGATGGACCCTGAGCCAGCCCCGTCCAACCCCTTGGGCTCAGCAGGAGGGGAGAGCGCAGGCCCAGCTAAGGCCTCAGGACAGCCAGTGTCCCCCTGGTCCCTGTTTCAAGACCCAAGGGCCCAAATATGGAATCTGAGGCCTGGGGCCGCCA